ATATATATATATATGTATATATACGTATATATACATATATATATATGTATATATATATATATATATATTTCGAGATAGTGTACGCATTTGCTGTCATACCATGCCTTTCAGTTGTAGGTTGCATACCTCCAGTTAGTACCCAACGTCTGTTCGATCTATATGTGCCATTTTTTTTTGAGAGCCATCCGGGTGGTCGTTTACTTTCTTGCGAACACCATTTCCCGCACATAAGCATATCTGTCATATATTTAATTGTTCTGGTAAAAGTTGTCATTTGCCCAGATGAAGCATCCGATTATGATTTTACAGCTAATCTAGGTATTTTCTTAAGTAATAAATACTTTAGATCGGAGTAATAAATTAAATATTATGATTAGGTAATCGGTGATTAATTAATCACTTGGTTTTATGATTAATTAATAATTCTTACGATTTCACAATCATTATAATCATCGTAACAAATCAAGACCATCGAAATCTTAATCATAATCTCATCACAATCACTATTTCCTAAAGCATTTTTTTCTGTTCATTTTGGAGTTGTTATTGTCTTCTTCGTGCATTAGTAACTATGCTCAAATCCTCGTAGAATCGTTCATTATCTTTATCCTCTTCCGACAGAATACGCTTTATAGTGATTTTTTTTGATCGATTATTGAGTATTAATCGCTATAACATTGTAAAAAAAGTGGAATTATCGTTTAGGGATGATAAACACGGGTAGATTTTTACCGCAACAGCAAGGTGCTGCAGCAATGGTTGGTGCCACAGCGACGGCTACAAATATTGGCGAGGTGCCAGCGCAGTTTTTCAGTGGATTTCTGGATGATGGTCTAATCCATCAGCACCAGCAGCAGCAGCAACAACAACAAATCCTGCGCCAACAAATGCCTGGTAAGTTATTTAGTAAGGTCAAATTTAAGTACCTCTAGAAACGAGGATACAGTTGGCCCTCAGTTTTGAATATTGCTTTGTTTAAAAAGTTCAGGCCCCCATCCACTTCCAGTCTTCTAGCCAGGAATATTCATTGTTTGTATCTTTAAAATTTCTGAAATACTTAATCTGTTCAGGAAAATTGACGAAAAAAAGCACTCCGAATTACACATGCTAGCAACAACCAATTCTTCAGAAAATGTGTCAATTTCGTATTGCTTTGTTTAAAAAGTTCAGGCCCCCATCCTCTTCCAGTCTTCTAGCTAGGAATATTCATTGTTTGTATCTTTTAAATTTCTGAAACATTTAATTTATTCAGGACAAATTTGCTGGGAAAGAAAAACTCACTGAGTGAAATCGAAAAACAGGAAAAATGGGTAATTTTATTGGGGAAATTTTAAAAAAATAGGAAAAGAGCTTATTTTAAGCAAAAAATTATTTTGCCGGAGATTCTCCCTTCCGTATTTTTTTTATTCAGTAAATTTACTCTTTTTCCTGAATATCTGGAAAAAAATGTTAAATCATGAAGTGATTCTCAATCTCCATGCAGCGG